GGGATAATAACGATGTCTTTTCTTGTTGTCAATAACCGCCCATATAATTTACAAAGTAAAAGTATAGAAATTGTTATATATTTAACAATATTTACATTAAAATTTTAATTTTATTTTATTTTGTTGTAGTTATTCACATAGTTTCATAAATTTTAATTTAAGCTATGTTGTTATTTCCAAAGTCAATCGAGATAGTAATTTGTAATCAAAATATTTATTTAATTTTTAAAAACAACTAATTTATTTATTGTATTTGTTTCCTTTTAAAGGTATAATAGTTATACTAATTTAGCAATAACAAATTTATTAACAAAAATAATTACATAATTTTGTGTCATCTATGGAAATATATTTAAATTTATATTCCTCCTCAATGAAATTTATCGAAACAATCGGTTTCAAATAGAAGTATATATCTTATAATGCAGTTTAATTTATAATTAAAAAAATTTGGCATTTAATTTTTTATATATGAAAAATGTTAAAATATATATATTAAAATACCTTTTCGTATATATTTTAAACTTAACAAAATCCTAGACCAAATTTAATAAAATTTTTAGATTAATTTTAATTCCCTTATAGTATCCAACTGACTTCCAGAATAATTTAAAATACTATATCTGTTATATCTTCATTTTATACTAAATTTATATATATTCAAATATTTTCTAGGTTTCTTATTTCATTTAAAATTTTAAGCGAAATATAAAATTACACATTATTTCTACAAGGTCGGTGTGTAATTGTTAATTTTTTTTTTTTTTTTTTTTTGTAAGATTTATATATTGCATTATATATATCGTTTAAAAAAAAGCATTGTGATGCGTAAAAAACTCAATTTTTATAGATTATATTTAAAAGAAAGAATAGCATTGGAACACTAATCATCTGCATTCATTTTAAATTAAAAAAGAAAAACATATAATAAAAAGTGTAATCAAAAATGTTGAAAAAACTAGATTTAAAAACAAGATACATATATATGTCTATATATGTATAGATATGTTACATATATAAAATGCTGCATATATAAAATAGTTATTATATGAATAGCAATATTATTATAATACTTATAAAAAGCATATGTATTTTCTGAGGAAAAAAGAACAAATGTAAATAAATTTATATAAAATAATGTTTATAAATTCAATAACAACAAATTATAATATTTTCATAAAATATTTTAATTCTTTTGTTACGTCAAATCAAAAAATATTTTTAATGTAAGTGTTTGTACATAACAATTTGTTCAAATTAATTTAATTTTAAAATTTAGTCAAAATAACACATTTCTTAATAATACAAAAAATTTATCATTTAATAGCTAAACTGTATATTATTAATTTTTGAAAAAAATAAATATAAAAAATCATATAAAAATAAACACCAACATTTTTTTTCTAAATGTTGTAAAATTTAATATGAAGCAACAAACTAAATATATATACATATACATAAATATATGCATATATACATTAATTAAATTATAAGTTTTTTATTAATTCCTAATTTTAAGAGTTTTATTAATAACATTTAGATTTTTATACCAAATTTTATGTAATATATAATTAAAAAAAATGTTAAACAAATTTTTTTTTCAATATATTTAAAAAGTCAAACATATTGTATATATATACATTTACACATATATAACTAATTATAAATAGGTATGTTATAATCTATGTACTGATCAAACATACCAAAATCTATTATTAAATCTTAAAATAGCCATTTGCAAATTAAAATAAGTCATAAATTTAATTTATGTAATGTTGTAAAATTTAGTAAATTTGCATGTAACTGTATATTATAAATTATACTAATATATACTTCTGTGGGTATATAAAATATTTAATTTAAAAAATCAATAAAAAAAAATATTTATAAACAAATATTTGAAAACTTTATTTATTAGTAATTAGAATAATTTTGGAATTAATAAGAGGACATCGATTAAGTAATTCCTTGAATTGATTAAGTAAGTAGGATTAAGTAATGTTAAAACAACTGTAAATAATAATAATGCAACGATTCCTAAAAGGTATACAGTAACAAAATTAATATACATAGACTTTATTTTTAATTAAAATAGTCGTTTTTTATTTAAAACAACATTACCCCTTCGAGAATAACTATTCTTTATAGTACAGTAATAGTCAAAACAATAGGACTCGCTTGACAAATGCATAACAATGTAACGTTAAAAATTCGTTAATCCAAATATGCAATTATTGTTCACAAATATGATTCAATATCCGGAAACCTTTTTGACATATTTGGATTAATATTTTAATTATACGCTTATTGTCTACGTTACTTCTTCTGATTCAAATTCATCTTTTACTATACCACAACATAAAGATATATCGTTATGATATGCCCAAGCCATTTCTGGTGTGGAGAAATATATTCCTAATCCACCACACCTATCTATTGTTATAACGCCAGCTTTATGCCTCAAACGTTTCTCCATGTTTACTATTACAAATTCGCTAGCCTCTTGTGCCGTCAAATGTTGAAATTGAATCAATGCAAGAATTTTTGAGGCGACATTATAGCGCATTATGGTTTCGCCAAGACCAGTAACTGATACAGCGCCTACTTCATTGTCAGCATAATTGCCAGCTCCTAAAAGTGATGAATCTCCTATACGACCTGACATTTTTCCATTTACCCCACCAGTTGATGTAGCAGCAGCCAAATTACCACAAGTATCAATGGCTACAGCACCGACTGTGCCCGGTGCAATGGGATTTTCACAATTTTCTTTTAATTTTTTACGTTCAGCTTCTTTTTTTTTAAATTTATTTAAATTTTCCAAAGCACTTGGTGTGACTAGTGCACCTTCTGGTAACATTTCAAAACATTGTTCTATAGCAAAACACATTGCACCTTCACCTGCCAAATATTTATGCCTAGTTTTTTCCATTACTTTTCGTGCTAATGTTACAGGACTATTAATATTTTTTATTAAAGAAACGCAGCCAGCATTTAAGTCAGCTCCATTCATTATAGATGCATCCATTTCAACATTTCCGTCATAGGTAAGTGCCGAACCAAATCCAGCATTAAACAGTGGATTTTGTTCCAAGGCAACGACTGCTTGATGAACAGCATCAAAGGCGCTGCCAGTTTTGATTAATTCTTCGTAGCCCTTTCTAGCTGCTAACTTAACACCATTTTTATGTTTAACATACGAATCTTCTGGTACTTTACCGGCTCCACCATGCACTAACACCACCGGAACACGTTTCTAAATATGTAAATTATTATATATAATTAAAAGAAAGTATTCTATACAAATACGAAGAGACTTACTACTGATTTACAATAATTTCTTATGACAGTTAAACTCATAGAAAATAAAAGAAATTAAAATATATTTAAAAAAATAATTTTTTTTTTAAATTTATGTTTGCTATAGTTTATTGTATTTTTATCGTACAAAAAAAAAAAAGATTTATATGCAAAACAATGTCTAATAATATTAAGGCATTCAGTTTTGCTAGAACTAGTTTTTTTGCAATTCTTCAGAAACAGATATACTCATTTAGAATTTATTCTATTTCAAGAACTGTCACTCGATCACTCTAGTACTCACGGACTTCAGTTTGGTGGAGAAAAAAAAAGTGAAGACGAGAAGATTTTTTTAATTCAAGAGATTTTTATGTTCTACATGTGTTGGGAACTAACACAACTCTTGGTCTTTAAATGCTATAAATATTATTTTTATCTAAACATCATGGCATAGATGTTGGTAATTATTCAAAGTTCTACTCCATAGTTTAAACATGTTAGAGAACTACTTTCTAGTAGATCTTAGTCTGCTACAAGATAATATTTTAAGTTTTATAAAGGTGTCAGCTAGTCGTAAGTCTTTCCATTTTTTTGCTGTAAGACAATAGGCTATTAGGCGCAAGTAGATCCGTAGTATTACCATTATAACCTATAAAACTTACTCTATGGTATAACATATAATAAAAAAGTTTATGGATATGATATAAAAAGTATATAGTGAAAAAATATTGATTGTGCAGAAAATTAGCGTGTTTAGGGTTATTCCTTAAAGTATAAATCCTTAAACTGCACCGTGCTGGTAAACAATAATATATAGGTAACATACTTATTTGAAGACTTTTTTTGTAAATTGAATGAAATTTGACTATAATTACAATAAAATTAAAAATATTAATTACCTCATCATTTTTTATGTTACAAATTCAAAATTTATACAATTTTTTATGTTATATATTTTAAATAAATTTTTACAAATATTAAAACATTGTTAATAATATTTTCCTGAAATCTCTTAAAATCCAACAATTAAAAATCATTTATAAGAAACTAAAACTTTTATAAGTAACAATTTCCACTTGATCTTCTCCCTCATCAACTCCAAAGTGCAATTCATTACCACTTTGGTATGCCCAAGACATGCGTTTAGATGTGAAAACAATGCCTAAAGTTCCATTTGCATCAATACTAATAACACCAGCAGTTTGATTGAAACGTTCTTTCATATTTTCCAGCACTTCTTTAGTTGCTTGATGTGCATTGAGACCCCGGTGCTGAACAAGTGCAAGTATACGTGATGCGACATTATAACGCATAATAAACTCACCCGGTCCAGTAGCAGATACAGCACCACTTTCATTATCAGCATAAGTACCTCCACCTAAAATTGGTGAATCTCCAATACGTCCAGATAATTTTCCAGTTATGCCACCAGTAGATGTCGCAGCAGCAACATTACCATTCACATCAATAGCTACAGCGCCAACAGTACCAGGTGAACCAAATAAAGTTGTATCAATATCATTAAGTTTTGTTAAAGCTTGTGTGGCATTTAAACTATTTTTGTAATTTTCAAGAGCTTTAAGAGCAGCTGAAGTGACTAATGAACCCTTTGGTAATATTTCGAAACCTTCTGATTCAGCAAATTTCATTACACCCTCTGCAGCCAGATACCTATGACGTGTTTTCTCCATAACTCTACGTGCCAAGGTTATGGGATTCATTATATCTTGTACCACTGACACACAACCTGCATCTAAGCTTGCACCATCCATAATTGCTGCATCCATTTCAACTGTACCATCCCAAGTTAGCACAGAACCGAGACCTGCATTGAATTGTGAATATTCTTCCATAAAACGCACAGCTTTTTCAACTGCATCAAGACTGCTGCCATTATCTTTTAAAATTTCATAACCTAATCTAGCGGCAAGTTTAACGCCATATTTCTTAAGTGGTATGGATTCATCCGAAACGTCACCAGCTCCGCCATGCACCAACAAAATGGGCTGTAATTGCTTAGGAGAAAAAATTAAAGTTTTTCATTTACTTCTAGCAGATTCATATTAGATAATCTTCTTACTTGTGCTTTAACGTAGTACAAACAATACAGCAAAAAGACTACGACCTGAAAACAATAAAACAATCTAAATTATTTATATTTCTTAAACCTGTTTTTGAACATAAGTAATAGGTAATTGCAAATAATTTTACTTATCTACAAAGATTATCTTAAGTTTTCGTGTAATTGCTTTTTAATTTGTCAATAATATCAGTCAATAAAACTGTATCTCAAAGATACGAATAAAAGCACTAGCTTTTTGCATCGATATCAATTACCTTTAAATTTATCATAGCAGTTAAAAACAACCTAAACAGCACAAAGGTTCAGTGACAACTAAACTAAATTATTTGATTCTTTATTATGTTAGTCCGATAGTTAATAATTGAGTATATAATAAAGGGTAATCCACATATAGCTTTATAAGAATTGAATTGCATATAAAAAAATACCTCTCCCTTATCGGAACTAAACTAGTATATACTGTAAGTTATTGATTATGATAGCGCATACCATACTGTGTCACTAGATATATTTACTTAGGTCGGTGGTATAAAGGGATGTAAAAGTTTGCTTTCTTAGTAGTCTGTAACGTCAAACCCAACCATACGAGAAATATTTGTTGCCTGTGATTTAACAATGATTCAGCCTAGAAAGCGTGTCATCATGAGAACATCAAAAGACTCTTGGCTTGGGTCTTTCCATAAGCCATCCTACTACTTAACACTGCCCAAAATTAAAGGAAATCCAGGTAGTAGTTTTCTAAGCCCTAATGCGTTGTTAAAAGCTTCAAAAGTTCCACAGAACTGTTGCTAAAAGTATTTTTTTGCAACCCAAAATTTACTTTTGCATTCGTTAAAAGCACCTCTATAATTATTCCAGTCTGTTTCTTTACGTACACTTTTTGCCGTTTTGGAGATAATAATGTATTTGCACCTCAGTTATTCCATCTCAGTGAGCAAATCTTCCACTAAATAGATTTAAATTTAACTCGTGGAAAAATGGTATACAACTCACTGCTTTGTCAATATTAGCATTTTCTTGACCAACATCGGAAAAGTCCTCTCGGACTAGCTAGTAACTTGGAATTACTAGCTACCGTAATATTAGTAGTTTCTTCCCTAACACTATTATTCTTAAATAAAGTTAATTTAGTAGGAAAATTGTAATCAAAAATGGATTCACTTCTACTGTTGCTACACAAAATTCATGATGTGAAGTTGCTTTACTGCTTGCCAACAGGTCCAGACCGTGTGTTGCACTATTAGTTTTTAAAACTGTGTTAGTTCATCTTCGTCTTACGAAAAGTATACAAACGTTAGCAACACCACCGATGTGAGGTCTCTTAAGCGGATAAACTGCGATTACCGTCAATCTGTTACTATATAATGTAAATTTTACGTTATAAATTGATTAATTTCACTTTGAATAAAAATCAAAGAAATTATGGAAAGCTAGAAGACTTTTCAGAAAAAAAAAATACTGTAAATCTAAAATTTTTTTTTAAACCATCAAAAATTAAACTTAAGCTTATAATTATTAAATAAATATATGTTGTAACAACCAATAAATATTAAATAATTCATAAAATAGAACCAAATTGATAAAAGAGCTTTCATAATTTTTATCTAGACATTAACTATATCGCTTATATGTCTCATTTACTGTACTATAAGCATTTTGTTAAATTTTTCATTCTATTTCTCATATGCGAAGGAATACAGTGATCCTTAAGCTTAAGCTTTACATACCTATCTTAGCATATCTAATAAAGTCTATATATATCAATATATATCAATATATATATATCAATATTTTTAAAATTTTTAAAATTGCTATAATAATATTACGAATGTGTTAATGGAGATAGTTTGAAACTGTTAGTAACTTTTTAGTACTAAACTGGAGTTAATTTATATGCAACCCTCCTAAATGATTTTAGTACAAATGTGACACTGCTTTGTTGATAAACAAAGCAGTACTAAAAAATTTTATTCTAGTGAATATTTTACATTTCGTGAAATGTCGTCAAAGAATTGTATAAAACTGGAAGTCTGTGTTGATTCCATCGCATCAGCTGTGGCGGCTGCTGAAGGTGGAGCAGCACGAATTGAATTATGCTCAGCGCTAAGTGAAGGCGGTTTAACACCAAGTGTTGGTACACTGAAAATACTTAAAGAGAAATGTCTTAACATTCCAATATTTTGCATGTTACGACCAAGACGTGGAAATGACTTTATTTATTCGACACTAGAAATTCAAGCTTTACTTGCCGATATGGATATACTCCGTGAACAAGGTGCAGATGGCTTTGTCTTCGGTGCTCTAACGAACGGACAAACTGTAAATACGGAGCAGTGCCAATATGTTTTACAGCAAGCAGCTGGTCTGCCAGTAACATTTCACCGTGCATTTGATCTAACTAATCCAATTTGTATGGACGAAACTGTTTCACAAATAAGACATCTTGGTTTTAAACGAATATTGAGTAGTGGTTTTTGTCAAAGCGCAGAAGAAGGTACTAACAATTTGGCAAAACTAATTGCGAAACATCATCGTGATATAATAATAATGCCTGGGGCAGGTATTAGTGTTAGTAACTTAGATGAGATTCTTACAGCTACTAAATGTGCTGAATTTCACGCCTCTGCGAAGAAAGAAGCTGGTGAAAATATTAATATTACAAAAATGGATTGTGAGATTTCTATGGGAAAACAAGATATTGAACCTTATTCAATAACAGATGTCAATGTTGTACGAAAGATGGTAGCTATTGGTA